GCTGCAGTGTTGTCACATGGGCGTTGATAAGATGCCCATGGAGTCAGTTAATACTCTGGGAGTGCTCATCAGCCATCTGTTCGTTGACTTCCAAGCATATACGTGAGAAAGGTCTGTGCAGTGCTTGGGACAGCTTTGCTCAGGAAGCCATATGCAACAAGGCTTTTATAGCACAAAAAAAACCCAAGAAGCCCAGCGAAAGCTAATGGGCAAAACACTTGCTGTATCATCAGTGCGACAAGTGATGTGGAGGGAAGTTGACATGCCCTGAACATTGCTTTGGATTAAAAAGCTTTATCTTTGATGCTGTTGAGTTCCTCCCTGCAGCACTACCACATGCCGTCACTGCAGAAATCAAACTGTTCCCGGGCTTCAGTTTAATTATATATACACGTCTGCCACAAAGGTGAACATCATTAAAGGTCCTGTGGTTTAGCAATACCTACATTAGTTACTTGTGATTTTACAAGGTCTTAAGAACTTTTCCAGGAATCAATATAAAATAGTGAGAATAATGGAGATGGAAATGTAGCAAAAAGCACCCACATGGCAGCAGACTAACAACCAAAGGCTGGTTTTATATCACTGACATTAAGGAATATGCCAAATTCAGGATGTTTACTAAAAAAATAAATAAACAAAACAGGACTCTATCTTGCAAATGCTCTAAATCCTGTCTGATAAGCTGCTTTTAGAAAACTAAACTTTCCTAAACTAAATACTGGCTGAAGTGTAAAGCATGTGAAATCTGTAAGCATATTTTATGACAAAAGCATACTTAAATTTGTATACAAAAAGGAATAGATACAATGAGTATGACATGATTTGTCTTTTGTTATAGGATACCTTCATCGAAAAGGAGAAGTACGGTAAACTGAAGCTGGAATTTGCCTTGATCTGAAAAAAGAAAAAAAAAATTTCCCCCAAATACATTTGAATCAAAAATCTGTTTTCTGTTACTGGTGTTTTTTTAGTAAAGTTACAACATAGAAATCATCACAGCTCTGATTTCCAGGGAAGTTCATTTTGGAAGGTGGCAAATACAATTTAAAAAACAATGTCAAAAATATTTTTTCTAACACTGCTTTATGAGAGAATTTAATTCTGATTTTTAAAAAGCATGTGGTTGTTACTGTACCTTAGCTTATTTATTTAAAATGAAACAATTAAAATTTTGATAAAGGTGTTGGCCACCACCTACTGTACCTTATTACTGTTCAAGTGGTCAACACTGAAAAATAAATCATTGTATTCTCAGAACTAACTTCGGAGAAGTATGTTAGGTTACGCATTTTATCCTCACATGCTTACATGTTATATTACATTACACCAGATGGTGACCACAGTATTTTCCTGCTAGCATCTAGCTGAGTGGTGGAGGTTGCTCTTTGATAGAAACCAGTAACCCCACTCTCCTTTCCGAAATGAATTCAGACCTGTACTGCTGCCTTTACAAGGAGTGTTAATAAAGACTTATTTAAAATTAATAGAAAGATATGGGAGTCTTCAGAAGGTGAGCCACAACTTATGTGGTGAAGCTATTACAAGAAGGGATGGCTGTCAGGCACATGAGTGAGCAGAAAGCCACTCATGGGAAGAACAGGCTGCATGAAGTATTTTTAGGTGGATCTAAGTTGGCTTTTATTATTTCAAATTTTAAAAGTGTATGTGAATATGGGGGTGGGGGGTGTTTATATGTATATGTATATAATATTCTCAGCTACTCAGGTTTTTATAGAAGACATCACAAGTTGGAGAGTAGGGGATTGGAAGTTTGGGGATGGAGAAGTGGAAATCTGGAAGTGGAATAAGGAGGCTATAAGACCTTATCCAGTATGTATGCCTAGTTAGATGTGAGTTGATTAGAAGGTTGAGCAATATTAGTACTGTATTAACAGCAGCTTCAACAGAAGTTGCAGAAACTTCAACTTCAACAGAAGTTGAAAGCTGCACTCTTTGGAGAACAAATTTCAGTCTTGCCTCTAAATCAGTACTGAATTGATGCCAGTCTGCCGGCAGCTGTCATTCAGGTGAGGCCCCACTGTCTCTGGTGGGGAATACTCAGCATGTAGTGAAACAGCGCCAGAAAGTCAAGGGAAAATGTGGTGTTGTGAAGTGAGGTCAAACTAAGTGAAAGTCCACTGTTTCTCATTGCCAGCTGTAGATGTGGCTGCAGAAGGCCAACACTGCTGAGTATGCACTAAATATACATTATTAAGATACATTCTTCAGCTGAGCTTCCGAGCCTCAATTTTCTACATGTAAAAGATTTGGTCCCATACTTATGCAGAACGATATTTAAAGGTGAAAGTTAGAAGGGAGCATGCAGAATACACAGGAAAGTGCATTTTGCTTTTATGCTTTTTCATGTGAAGTTTCTGTTACACTTACAATGTACTACATATGCATTATACTCTTGAATTCTTGAATCTGCAGCAATGGTTGCATGTATTTAAATATCAGTGATAATTCTGGACATGTTTGGTTCACAACAATTATCCATAATCAGTCTCATGTTGAATAACTGATAATGCCATACCTTGTCTAAAGGTCAGTTTTGTTTAGATTGGGAAAAAGGGTGTTTAGTTTGGCTGAGAATACAGATGTTATGTGAGGCAACATTAAAATTGCCCTGAAATACATGAAAGGTATAGGATAGGGTTTACTTTATGGAACTAGGCCTTCATCTATTTAGTCTAGCACCCAGTCTTTGACATAGGTGAGACCATCTCATCTGACATGAGGAGTTGGTCTAATAGCTGAATTTAAATCTGAAGAATGGATTTTAATATTAGTTCCAAAGTTCATTACTTTTAGAGATTTTCGCTTCTAACATGCTTTTGTACACATATGGATATCCGATACTTTTTTAAAATCTTGCTTTGAATCTTTTACTTCCGTGGCATCCTATATCTGTTAGTTTTCTTAATATAATTTCATGCTGTGTGAATAAATATTGCCTTTTATTTGTTTTGAGTGTAGATGTTGTCACTTGTATGTTGCAGTCTGTGCCCATAGCCTCCAAGCAAAATATAAGTCCGTCCTCTCCTTGTTTGGGCGAATAATTGAATTTTTTTAATTAAGGGGTTTTTTTTAAATCTTCATTTGATGCATATGTCATTATTTATTTGATTTATAAATACTTATTATATTTTTAATTGATAGTAAAATTTTCTGATAACTCCAGCAAAACATATTTTTAGGCGGAAACAGTAAATAAATAGGAAAAAATGACCTTTCAGTTTGACCTGGAGTAATTTTTGCTGACAGTAAGTTATGGGAGGTGCAGCAGTACCAATGGCGAGGGGGTGTTACCTCTACCAATATTTTCTGAACACCAAATCAGGGTAGTAAGTTGATTTGAGATACCTTTCAGCAAACCTGCTTGCAAGTTTCAAATCTTGCCTTTAGCTCTGAGGGGAAAAATGCTTTTAACTTTCACTTTTATTAGCTGTACAGAACAATAGCAGGTAATAAAAAGGTAGCCATCTGCCATCCAAGAAGTTATCTAATAAGTTTCTACTACAGAATCTTAGTACTGAAGGCGATGTACAAGCCAGATCTATACCGCATGCCTGTTATTTCAGCTTGAATTTGCAGATGGAAAGAAATCTGTCTACTTGTTAAGATAGCAGTTTTTATCCAGACACTGTAGAGTCAGTAAACATAAACCTTTCCAGGATTACTTTTCCCAATATACTTTTTGTTTAAAAGCACTATGAGCTTATACTTCAGCACCACAAAACAGCCAGTGTTTCTCTGCAAACAGCTCAAGTGCTTTTTCACTGCAAGATTTTTTCAGGCTAAATGAATTAGATACCATGGCAGAAAAAATTACCTCATTATCACAGAATTCTAGGAACCTTAAATATTATGTACAAATATAATTCCTGTTGTGATTTGTTTATAGAGAGATACTTTCCCTAGTGTTCTTATATTTGTAATTTTTTTTCAAGACTCACCATAGAAAAAGAAATAATGAAGTCAGTACTACTCTTACAGCTTAATTCATTTTTTAATGAAAGATCAGCCTTCCTATTAGATGTCTCAGTTTAAGTCCCATTTCTGTTTCTGAGAAAACAAATGAACTCTTTGTTATTAGCTTTTAATCTTACTTAGGAAGGTCCACAGACTGTTTTTTTTTTACCTGCTATTAAACTGAGAATGAGTTTTTTAATTAAAGCTATGCTGAAAGCTGGTATTTTTAAAAATGTGACCCAATATCCTTTGAAATGCTTATTTTTATTTAATATTTTGTAAGTTTTTTAACATTGTGCTGCATAAGATAAGAACAGTGTTTACAATGAGTGTTTCAAATTATCTCCTTTTATGAAAAGGACATATCTGGAGTTTTAAACATTTGTAAGCTACAATAGTTGAAATTGAAAGATATCAGTCAGTCAATAACCAAGGAAAAGGAGATAACTAGTTGTGTAGAAGAGGTAGTCATGTCTGACCACTTGCTAACTATGACAAAAAAACAGGACAGTATCAAAACAAGCAACCCTCCCAAGACTTGGCTACCTTATCTGGACTGATGAAACAGTTATTTTTCTCCAGGCTTTTCTTCTAAAAAAATCTCTTATATTATTAGGTTTTGTTGATGGGATGTTCTGAATTGCTTCTTCTTAAAGGTGCGACTGCATTTGACACATCAATACCAGGTCATTTGGTGTCTTATCCAATGTCCACCAAGATATTTGGAAGTCCTTTTGTTTAGTTCTTTTAATTTCAACCTAATCCCATGCTGTTTGTAAAGTATGGCAATGATCTCAATAGCTCCACTTGCATATATATATATGCATATATATATATTTGCATATATTTTTTCTTAGAAATTATCCCCTGTGGTTTGTGTTTTCACCCCTTGTGTGGAGAGAATTTTCATATATATCAATATTATCTGCAGATCTGAATGAGAACAGGAGCGTAGACACCACTTAGCCTCCACTCTTTATGCATCAGAAAAATCTGTTAACGTTATTTTTTGTTTATTTCAGGTTTCTTTTCTCCATGGAAAACTCCAAAGCCTGTAAGTTCCCTTTCAACATTATACACATTGAGTTCATAAGATGACTATCATTCAAAGCAAATTTCGGTAGACTCTCATCTAACCCTACTGTTCCCAGCTCATGAGGCACCTCTCAGCAGTGCCCCAACTCTAGGTGAGACACCATGAGGGCTGGCCTCACTAATAAGCTCTGCAGATCTGTTGACTTGGAGTCTGCCAGCAGCAGTCTGGAGAAAGGAACATCTCAATGTTAAGACGGGTGTCAAGTACCAGAAATGCAGTGGCTCAAAAATGAGGGCTCTGGAGGAGAAAGCAGCAGAAGGCCCCAGCAATGATGCCAGTCTAGTTGGCCTTCTAGTTGGTGATCTCTTTGAAATGACAACATGCACTTGTTCTCTTTTACAAGTGACTTGAGCTTGACATCCTTAAAGTGATTGCTATTCTTTCTTGCATTAGTAGATCTAGAGCTGGAAATAGTCACACTTCAAGTGAGAGCTTGGACTAGATAACTTACTGAGGTGCCTTCTAACCAACATTTCTGTGTTTCTATGATTTTGACATTAAATCCCAAGGTATGAAGAACTTTCCTACTGTAAGACTGTAAGCAATGACTGTATTTATTCTGTTGACACCACATTATATCATTTTTTGAAGTTGTGACAACATTCACAGTGTAAAAAGAAATCATAGGTTCTATTTTTGGTTGCCTGGTTTGTTTTGGGTTTTTTTAATTTGGCTTTTTTATTTACATTGTAAAGACCTTAAAGTAGTGCTTGTCTCTCATCAGAGGTGTGTAGAGGAAAAAAGAGCCCTGACTCTGCCTGAAGGTTTCTAAGAGCAATAGGAATAACAATAGCAATATTTTTAAAGAATTTATAGCTTTCTTATTTGGGGGGGGAGGTGTGTTGAACCTGGACAACTTCACATTCTCTCATATTGGATCACGGCATGTTTAATGCATACCAAAAAAATTTTTGTAGCATGTCAAGTACAAATAGCAATTAATTAATCAGCTGATGCAACTCCATCAGACTGCTTCAGCTTGTGGCGTTTTTGATGTAAAAGGATAGAGGATGGATGCAGTACATTGGAATAAGCATTGCATAAGTTTATTTATTCATCTAAGTAGCAGGACATTTGTGAAAATAAATCTGACTATTAAGGGCTAGCTTCTTCTCACCAGTTTAAGGTTCCTGTCTGACTGGGATGTTCAACTTTTAATCTCAGGTAAAAAATGATGAAATAGAGAACTTGGAACTTACTTGTTAAAGATCCACATTCAAAGACCTCCCACTGTCAGCGTTCACCCTCTTTTCGTACATATCAGATATACAGATATATCAGCATATTGTTGATGATTGTCTGCACAGTTTTGTTATATAAACAGTATAGTCGTTCATACTCAAGTAGCACTTGCCAATAATCAGAATCTAGAGAAACAACTTGAGTGATGCAGTTTTTCGTGCAACAGTCTGAGGAAACCAGGGCTCACAGAATAATATAACACCATTGTGTGCAGATACTGTACCTGCATGCAGGCTAACCGTTCACAGCTAGTCTATTTTGGGGTAGTCTCAGCAAGAGAGTTTACAAATGATTAGCCAGGTTAAGGTAGTGTACATTCCTCTGTCTGTCACCACTTTAACTAGAGAAATAATCAGGCATAAATTTCTCGTGCCCAGGATGTGAAGATAAGATTGAAACCAAGTGCCCCTGAAGCACGGAGTGTCTGCAGACAGTCTGAAGCAGTAAGGCCAGCATCGAGAGGTTTAGAAAGCCTTCCTAACACCACAGCACAGCTCTGTAGGTCTGTAACAGGAAAGAAAAACTGTAGATGGCCCAAACCCAGGTTTCTTTTCTGCTTGGGTGACTACTGCTGCCCCCTCGCCTCTCTGGCCACACAGGGGAGAAGCACCCACCCTTCTTTAAAGCAAAAAGGGGACAACAGGGCATTGGCTAGAAGACAAGAAGAGACAAGATCCTCTCCCTGATGCAGAGGCTCAGGGATGGTGTGCACTGCATCTCTGTGTGCTCAACATCCCAGAGTAACCTGGGCTGACAGAAATTTCCTGTGGCTTCTATGTCTATAGTGCATATATTATACATATCATATGTAATACAATTTGATTAGTGCAAAATGAACTTGAGCAATGTCACAAAACCATTACCCCAACTTAGATTTGATGCCCTGCACTCAATACCATGCTTGCTCATTTCCAAGAGTGCCTTCATCTGTGAGCTAGCATTATGATAACTCACATTGCAAAACACTGTGTGACTATTTAACTAATTGATATGGATTTGGGAGATATCATTCCCCTTGTGTTTATCTGTTTATTTAACTATTTATGTTAGCAGTATTAGCCACAAGTAAGAATGTTTCGCTCGGTTTTTAACTTCACACTTGAAGATTTAGAGCTAACCAGTAAGCAAGAATTAGACATATGGGACCCAGTAGGGTTTTGCCAATTTATCTCCAGTTTCTTGTCCTTCCTCCAGGGAAACGTTTGCTCGTCAAAGATAATTATATATTCCTTTCTCTTTTTAAAGCCTTCTTTAAATATTTTAATTTTATTCAGTTTCACATTTTGAAAGAGGTAAGTGTTCTATTTCTCTGGCACTGTCCAAGAAATTAGGAAACTTTCACTTCTAGATAGACAGGGCCCCACATGTCTTTCTGCTTCATAGCGATAAAGTAGATAGTTTGGTTTACACTGACTTGTATTCTTTTTTAGATTCCTCACTGAAGGTAAAAACCTAAACATAGTTCTCCATTATTTTCCTTGATCATAAGGAACTTATATTAAGCCCAGTTCTCCTTTCCTATTTAGACATAGGGGTCATAATCAGGTTTGTTTCTGGAGACCTTTGAATTTACACTTCCATGATACAATGATACACTGTATATATGTTTATACATACCTGAGGTAATTCCTTTAGAACCAGAAGCGCTATCAGAAGTATTATTGTGACATTCATGTGACTTGCCACATAAGCTAATTTACCCAACACAGAGGATAAATTTATCTTGATATAAAGGGTACCTGAAGGTACCTTAGGTACTTTCCTGTACCTAAGCTATTTCGATGACAACTCAGGTATCTCCATATGTCACTGTATTGCACAGGATCTACGTACCTATAATGCCCTCTTATATCACATCCTAGTTGCTGTCTTTTGTATCTGACCCAAAATAAATGTGTCTTTCTATAACAACATTGGCGAATGTTGAATACAATATTCCATATCTTCATCATTAGCATTTCATAGCACTAATATTTTCCTTTCTCTACTTAAATATCCTACCTGATGCATACCAGTACATAAGAGTCATCCTATGATTGACCAAGATACCTAGATCTTTCTTTTCTTCATTGTTTCTAATGAACCAGCCCTACTTACTGCTGAAACTCTGACAGAAGCACAGCTTGAATTATAACACTGTTCTGTATAAAGAATGAGGTCCTCAACAACTTAAAATGGCCAATATCCATATTCTGTTTATTTTGAAGTATGAAGCTAAGACTGTCAGATCACCTGGGATATGCAGAGTGATAATTACTCAGCATGTTCACCAGAAGGACTCTAAAACATCTGTAGTCCACACATACTTGATGTGGAAAAATCCTGATGCTGTTAGTCATCAGAATAGAAAGCAAAGCCTACCTGCTGAGCCAAACACCTTCTGAAAATAAAGGCAAATGATAATCACAGAATTTGTAGAGCAAACTTGCTGTAAACCTGCAATCATCTTTGATAAGGCACTGCTGATACAACACTAGAAGTCAATAGTATTTAATTACAGTTCAGTTTGTTTCCAGGAGTCATTTTTTATGTGACTAACTGATTGTTGTGTTATGTGTGAGAACACACTGTTCTGGAGGCTTTACCACCCTTTGCTTCAGGAGGCGTCACAGGAAAAGCCAAATATTTGTTTCCTGGGATAAACATTTGTGTTTTGTTTAACTTTTAGCCTCTTCAAATATATTTGCTAATGCAATTTAATTAGTAGCCAACTCCTTCAAAAAGAAAAATGCAGATCCCCAAATCTTCTTCTGCACAGTCTATCATTATCTCCTTTCTGGCCTGAGGTACTTGTGAGACCACTAGGGACAGTCTTGGACAAAACATGGATTGAGGTGGCTTCCATGCATAGACAACACACTGCTGTGTACTTCTCTCCTGTAAATGGTCTGGAAGAGTTGAAAAGCTTATCCTGTGCTTGGGAGTTTGGTTGGATGACGCCAATGTAATTTTTGATATAAGAAGGAAACAGTAAGAAATGAAGAAGACTCTGTCAGACTAACGACCACTTTTCTCTCACCATGTTCTGTATTTTATCATTGAACATTCGACTATCACTAGATACTTAAATACCTGCTGTAATAATTTTCCCTTTGTGTTTTTTTTTTCATACTCTTCAATTGAAGCTGTAAATTCTGCTCACAGTTACAGTAATCTACTTCTCCCTGGGCAGCTAGCTATTTTCATGCATTCTCAAAAGATGCAGCATTAAGATCATTCAGTTGCTACCCAGTCTGGCCACTTCTTTGTTAAGCACTACTTTTGGTTATGTATTTTGATGAATCTGATAACTGTATCTTCACAGACCCACAGATTCCACCTTTAGCAGAATAACTTCCAATAGCTCAGCGCATTCTGTGAGAGGCACTCAACATGCTTCAGGGGTAACGCTGGGCCCTAATCCACATGGGATCATATTATCTGAGAAAGATCACATCTTCCCATGAGCAACAAATTAAGAAGTAAATTTAACCAAGTAATTTTATAAACAGCACAACACACATCTTTCATCTCAAGAGGCAGCAAACGGATTTGCTAATTTTACAAAATACATCTTCAACTGAAATCACTGTCTTTGGTCTCATTGTGGAAGTCACAGTTTTTTGCAAAGCTTCATCTTTATTCTCTGTATGTTTTTATTCCAGATGATGGAACGATGGGAGAATCAAGGCAGCCCTCAAACAAGCCTGTCTGCTCCAGCTATGCCACAGAATATTCCCTACCCACCCACTCTTCACAGGAGTTCATTTCCCGATTCAACAGAGGCCTTTGATCCACGAAAACCTGACCCATACGAGCTGTATGAGAAATCAAGAGCTATTTATGAAAGTAGGCGTAAGTGAAAGCCCTGTTCACCCTGCTGACCATTTAATATTTTAAGCTTTTGCCTGTGAATGTCACTGCTGACATAATTTTCCATAATTATCTTTTGTAATTTAAAGAAAGCAACTATAATCCCAGTTAATAGAGGCCATTATAAATCATTCAAAAATTCTACACTTATATATTTTCCTAGATCTTGCCTAGATTCTGAAGTTTGACTTTCATAGGTCTTTTTCCTTATATTTTTGCTCTCCTCATTTTGACTGTTAAATCCTTAATGAAGAACAGTATATGAGCCACCACATTTTGTTGTGCTATTTTTCTTCTTAGTTAACCAATAGGAGGATGTGAATTTATCGATAAAAAATTGTTTCACTGACTTTCACTTAAAAGTGAAGTTTATTAAAGAAATTTCAGATTTATTTGTTTTTATAAAAATTACTTTGACAAGTTTTCACATTGTCCTTGGTAGTTAGAAAGAAACCCATAGCACTAAGTACTGTTTGAAGATATGTACAAAACAGTACTGAGCCATCAGGATGCCCATCTTGATTTTATTTCTCATGTTTTTGGGGGATATACCACATATTTTTCACAACAAGGGTAAAAGGAGTTAAAATTATTTACTCCTTATCATAAAGAATATTTCAGCTAAAAATATTATTCTAAATTTTCCAGAGCTTTTGCGCTTATTAAGATCAAGTGTTAAAAATAGTTTATTTTTTTACTGAAAGATTTTTCATAGCAGTTATTACTTGCACATACCACCTTTCAATTCATTTTATAAATTACTTTAGCCTATAGATCAAATTACTTTATAAATTACACATAAAATATTGCAGTGCAGCTGATCCAGATTAGCCCATTAATATTAATTGGGCCCAGAGGCATAGAGATAAACCTAAACTACCGTAACCCCTGATCTGGAAGGTATGAATTTCTCCAGCATGCAAAGGGATAGTCTGAAGGAAATACATTATTGTCCCAAACACTGTGTTGGTACCGCTCTTACTTGCCTTGGCCCTTATACTTTAGTTACAGCATCAGCATCCCCTGTTTGGGTTTGGTATTTCCAGTCCCCAGCAGGATGGATATGCTGGAGGAACACCAGGGTTCATTTTACATCAATTCTAAGTTAACTCTAATCTAGTCTCTAAATTGCATATCAGATTCCTCAATTCTTTGCCACTGTGGCCAGTGCCACCATCTTCTGCCACCCTCATCCATTTAGTGGAACATCTTTCAGTAGAGATTGTCACCATAAAACTCACTTTCCATAGTCCAGACCTTCTCGGTGGGGGGGGGGGGGGGGGTCATTTTTTTTTTTATTTATTTATTTAATAGGTGCCTGAAATTAAGATCCCAAGATTAAATCTAAGTACTTAAATAAATTGCTGGCTTTTTTCATCAATACCAAGTATCTTATTCCCCTTAAATATGGATTTGAGAACTTACTTTAGACCTCCTATAAAAAGTATTTGATCTTCAATTATAAACTCTTAGGCATAGGAACTAAGCTTTCCAGTGTATTTACGAACACCATGTAGCCCATGCTGGCTGGTATTTTAATATCATAAATATTATTTACTAATGTAGCATCTTCCTCTACTCCAGATGTTATTCTTGATTGGGCAGGATACTTGAGACAATGTACAAACAGAGGCTATAATTTTTGACATTTTAAAACTCTTTGAAGTATGGATCAGGATACAGTGTGGAGTAGGCCAAAAAGGTTTGAAAGAAGTAGGACTAGCTTTGAGCAAAGTTTGGAAATAATTTTCAGACATCTCTCCGCTTTTTCTCTTTCTCTTTCTCTTTCTCTTTCTCTTTCTCTTTCTCTTTCTCTTGTACATTAAGGGCTAGAGTGACAAATAAATAAAAAGATTTGCCAGAGCTGAAATGCTATTCCCCAAAGTGCTGGGATTTGAGACTATAAAGAGAAATTAAATGGCGAAGAAGCAATTCCATAGTTAACAAGGGTTTTATCTAGTTCAGCACCTTTACTGAAAACACTCTTGACTTCATATACTGCTTTAAGGAAAGGAAAAACTTTTGCAAATAATTGTTTCCCATATGGGTAGTTTCTAGAGGTGAAGTGTTTCAGCAAAAATCTGCACTTTCCATTCAGCAGAGTCAGAACCATCTTCTGTGCTTAAAGCCATCAAGCCAAGAATAGAAACGCGCACATTACAGACTTTCTGCATTGAAACAAATATCTTTGTAAGACAATTAAGAAAAAGTTATACACACCATATGTATATATGGGTTACATATTTATACAGCATCTTCTTTCATCTTGATCCCCGATATGAAGAGTTCTGTATTTACAGAACTGCCCTAAATATTAATGAAAGCAAATAGGCTCAATCCATGTTTGCCCTTCATAAAACTGTGGAAATACAGATCTGATGTCAACTACAAAGATTGGCTTACACTCCGAAAGATGATATATTACACCAAAAGACATATTACAACATTCAATAAAAGAATGAAGTGATTTATTATTATTCATGGGTGCCTTCTATGAGTTTTCTGCATACTTCCTCGACCAACACGAACTCCACTCTTTCACTGATACAATCTCCTGTGTTCAGGAGCATATGCTACTCCAGGGGAAAGGCGGATAACTCGTAGGTTGGAGTTATGCTAAAGCCTGTGTTTAAATGGTTTAATTGCACTTGGGTTCTGTCCAAGAGGCAACGGGAAATTTTATACAAGCCTTTTTCAGCCAACTACCTAGACAAAATAAGAATTAAAAATCATGAAGCTGCTAGGCCCAAAATAAGAAAGTGAGGGATGAAAAGCAAGACTGCAGTAACTACTCCTCCCAGATTTCCAGCAGTGTCCCGATCTTCCAGCTAATCCTGAAAGCTTTAATTTGTTCTCTTCTGATGCTGGTGTTCTTTGAACATTTTCTCTAAATCTTGATTCCACAGTTCCCAAACAGATCTCTTCTGCATTCATTCATATCCCTTGGTCATAAATAATTGCCTCTGAAGATCTCTATTCTCCCTGACATTTTTGTTTCATGAGTGCCATAAGCACACATTTTAGCAAATTCAATTTGTCAAGCCTTTGATTGCTTTTATTCTCTACATAATGCTAGTGTTTCCTGAAGAGAGAAACAACAGGCAGGAAATCCATTACTGAGTCAAGAAATTGTCATCTAAATTGAGTATACAGGAGGGAGAGTTTCAAGATAATACACACTTAGTCTCCTACCATATGGCTGTGTCAGGTTGGATATCTTTGGTAAAGACATACCCTTAAAGTGCACAGGAAAAGTTCAGCTATTTTGTGTTTTCTTAAGTACTTCTTATCTCAAAGCAAGTTTGCCTTATCTCCTGACAAGACCAGAAAAGAAGGATGGTTCATCTTCTAAAAATAGTGCAAAGAAGCGAACAATCATGACCTGGAAAACTCAAAAAGAAAGATAGTACTAGATTTTTGTTTCTCTCACAGTAAGACTCTGTGACTAAACAGTTCATTTTCGTACTGCTATAGCTCTGAATTTCTACAGATCCATTTATCAGAGGATCTCACCACAGTCAGCACTCACCAGGACCTCATCAAAGCCTCCTGCTTCCCTATCAGGGAGTTGAGCAAGTTATGCATCACAGCGTAGTCCTGTGAGGAGCACAAGCGACATGACTCGAAGCAGAGCAAGAACTAGACCCAAGGAGCCTGATTCACAAGCTTTTGCTCTAGCTGCTAGGTATGCTCATCCCTACCTAATGATAGAAAGAAAGAGGCTTCGAGCAGGAAGTCTCCTTGAAAAAAAGATGATTTTCATTCTACAGGAATGTTTTTCCACCTTAGGAATGTGAAGGACCTGCATGACTCTCTGCGATCATTTTTAATGATCACATATGAATTACAAAGGACTACTGCTTCCACACTGGAAACTGTTTCGTAGAGGCAGTTCTACCAATACAGCTTGGAGACAAATCAAATTATGCGTTAGTACAAAAGCAGAGTGCAACTCTATTTCGTAAGTCATAGCTCCTTGGAAAATTGTTTGTCACGAGTTAGCTGTTACCTGTCAGCTCTTACCTGTTAGCTGTCACCTGCCCCTGCTGTCACCCATCAACTTGCTTAATAGCTCCAAGTAGCCAAAAAGGAGCATAAAGTGTTTCCAAAGACTAAAGATTACCACATCATCCAAAACAGCTGCCTAAAAGCAAAAGAAGGAAAATTGTTTTCTTTTTTCTTTGCCTTTCCTTTCTGCAGCTACATCTCTCTGTGTCTCGGCTTTTTTTTTCCTCTTTTTTTTTTCCTCTCTCCCACCCCGGCCCGCCCCCCTTTATTTCTTCTCCCTGGCAAAGAGAACCTACCTAGCTTTCTGCTTTTACATTATTTTTCAAAACTCAGAAATGGAGGAGAAGACCTGCTCAAAAAACTGGATACTTTTTCCTTTTGCCATCCAACTATTAATTTTAGGCAAATCCTTTAACTCCTTTCTCCTTATGAAAACTCTTAGAGTGTAAGTGACAGCATGACTCTGCTGATAACCATGGAAGTTAGGTACAGAAGCTAGAAAATGGAACATCAGATCAGGAATTTCCTATTAATGGAAAAAATTATAAAACTTGATATGCACCAGTTGTTACAGCTGTAACTGGAGCTCCGCAGTTCTCATTGGGGCAACTCATTCTACTGAATTTAACATTTTTGCTTTTATAAATTCTCCTCATCCTCTCTTATATTTTACATTGAACTCTGTTTATTGTAAATATACAGTTTATAACAAACTTTGTTCAGAGGCCTGTGTAGGCAGACATTAGTCAAACAGGAGACACAAAGCTGTTGGGAATCATAATACTATATTTCTCTAGTTATAAAATGTATAATAGAAATTTAGCTTTATATTCCTCTAAAGAAAGCAGTAAAATAAAACATTTTTTACAGCAATTAAGTTACATTTCTCCCTCAGTTAGTGTGGTAGTCCAAGACCGGTGATGTGCCACAGAAATGCCAGTAGGAAGAATGAAATAAGTCAGTGATAAGCTCTC